CGTTGGAATGAAGCAATGCTTGCAGACTACTGCTGGTCTGTGTGTAGGGATGCTCCAGAAGTGTTTTATAAAAGACAAGCTAAACGACAGCGATCTTACAATGAATCGGATGGACTTAATTGAAATTTGGTGGTACAAACTTTTTTTATTTGTCAAAACACTAAGAATAATGTTTTTTTTATTAATTTTGTACTTAAAATATTCTAAAAGAAACACAACGATATTGTTTTGTGTACTTTCACTTTTCACGTATAGTATAACTACTCTTTAAGATTAAGTACTGTGTATCTCAAAAACCAGAGCTAATAAAAATTTTTCATTGTTATTTTCGTTTTTATCACCCCAAAATTAGTAGAAATTGACTAATTTACTGTAGGAAACATTCAAAAAATATTTTTTTGTTGTGTTGTGAATCAGAACAACCATTTTGACAGAGTGATCTGGATACAGTCTGTGGAGTTCGAAGAGAAAATCTCGATATTTTATCGGTTTTTCCTCCTTTCTTCTGACGATATTCGTCTCGCCAGGAGCTGAAAATTCCACGACAAATATCGTTTTGCTCTGGTGGTCAAGAAGGACTACATCAGGCTTATCAGCTTGTATGAGCCTGATGGTGGGGAACGAATAGTTCCAATAAATTCGTTCCCCACAGCGGATTCAATATCCTCCGGAGCGTAGGGCAACACCGGTCAACACTCGTCAATACCGTAAGAGTGCCGTATATGATAATATAGCACTCTTAGGACCGCGTTATGTCGATGGATATAGGCCGAGACCGCATATGCTGGACATGGTGATAGCAAGTGGATTAGGGTCTCGGGCGCCTCGCGGAAGGCCCTGCACCTGTGTCAGGAACCTCTATACCCATCACGCGACTGCGGTAGACTAAGCTGTTGAAGACACCATCCTGGCAGGCTATGATGAACCCCTGCAAACTTAAGGTAAATGAAATCAAATGATTGGGAATAAACTGCTTGCCAATCTCAACGGTTGGTAGTTAATGCTGTTGATCAAAACATTACAAAATCCACAATTCCATCGCTAACACAAGCTGATGGTTCAATTGCAACACTACTCGCTGAAAATGGAATACTTTGTATTGTAGAAACAACATCTTTTTTTTCTTCAACAAGTGACGTAGCTACTGCCAACATACATTCCTTCACTATCTCAGATATGATCATAAAGTAGACTAATTGTCAATTTACAGACGAATTAACCGTGTTTATACAATTGAGAAATATTTTCAATTTTCAAATAAAAACGTAATGATTTTGACCAACGTTTTACCGTCTGCCATTGTTTCCTTGCACTATATAATTATTAAATAGACACACTGCCAATTGGCAGACGAATAGACCGTGTAATGATTGGTCGACAATTTTTTATGACACAAGTTTCAGTGTTACTCCATAAGAGATTTTCATCAATTTCAGTGGAGAACACTCTGGAGATGGAATTTTTTCAAAATAATTGGTCGAAATGTTATTATATGCTGTTAGTAGCAGATTACAGCCGGTTCTGGGCCTCCCCCCACCACTATGACGTATTATTTGCTTTTTTTGTTGTTATTTAGTAACATCAAGGCCACGTGACTGGGTCTGGTGCAGGGATCGTTGAGAATTTTTTTTCATATGAGATTTTTGGTGTGTGTGTGTGTGTGTGACATAGTGACGTAATTACAGAACCGGCTGTAATCTGCTACTGCTGTTTTTTAAATTTGTTGCTGTTACTCTCTGGCACATGTTGGTAGATTGGATGCGTCAAACGATGTAACTTGTTTTTCGAAAGACTCCATGGCATCTATCACTCCGTAATATCTTTCAAATAATCGAACTCTCGCTTAAAAAAAATCGTTTTAAAATCTGTTTTTCGGTTTTCGGCAACCAAAGAAGCAAAAGCTTTTTCAAACTTTTCATTGCCCGTTAAAATCGACAAAGGTTATTTTTACCCTACCCCACTCTCGTCTAAAAACGGACGATTCTTCTGCTAATTGACAGTTTGTCTACTTAATAATTATATATTGCAAGGAAACAACAGCAGATGGCAAAACGTTGGTCCAAGTTATTACTTTTTTTATGCAAATTAAAAAATATTTTTCAGTTGTACAAACGATCTATTCGTCTGCCGATTGACAATTTGTTTACCTAATAATAATATATATTGCAAGGAAACAATAGCAGAGGGTAAAAAGTTATAACTTTTTTAACAAATTAAAAAATATTTTTCAGTTGTATAAACACGATCTATTCATCTGTCATTAATTTTTCTCTTCATTTTTAATACCGAAGTTTATATTTTACCAAGTTTTATACGGTAAAAAAATGTTCAGAGGCACTGTAAAAAAATTGTTGATCATCTAATGCTTATAAATTATTAATACACCGGCAAAACGTCTGCCTTGTGAAAATTCGTTCATTTCATGCTGCTGTTAGTCTACGCTGTGCTTGGCAGACAGTAAAATTTTTTTTTGATTAAATCAAAAATGCATGCTTTATCCAGAACACAATGTAACCGTCTTCCAATTATTTTTTGTGGGTTGCGTAACCTAGCATTTCGGTCGTGTGAATGGCAGACGGTAAAATGGTGGTCCAAGAAGCTTTTTTTTTTATTCAAACTAGAGTTGAGATGTTCAAGCATGTGTAACATGGGAAAAAATTCGTTCAACGCATAATACTGTTGCTTGTAGCTGTAAATATGTCCTCTGAAAAAGGCAGACGGTAAAAAACGGGGTCAAAATTTCTGTCACGGGCTCCCGGTCTAATTCATAAATATTCAGTTGAACTAACTACTACACATTACTCACCTTGATCAGTTTTGTAAATGAATTTGACCCATGTCAGTGTCCTGTTTTTTCCTATTAGGGAAAAGGTGTGTGACCCATACCCATGTTGGTGTCGGTGTCCGTCCGGTATACCTCTGTCGGAAAACAAAAACATAACTTGGTGGAGAGTTTCGGGTCTGAGGCTGATGAAGTCCCAGAACATATCCCAATCACGGATATTGGTCACCGGGTTCCTTTTCTGAGTATGGACAAACATTGGGAAGAGTATCGGATCTCGTATGAAGAAAATTGGAGTATTGTTTCCGACCAGATCCCACACACCTTCTTCTGTGTAGAACTTGAGGGCGAAACCTGAAATAGTTCAAGAATAAGAAGCATAATTCAATCAAATCTTCGATTCTGGGAATTTTTATATTATGATTTACAGAAGTGGCGTGCTTTGTTGAGTGCATTTGACAAAAAACATACCATTTAATTAAAGTATGATTAAAAAACATTATAAATATAATAAAACAAAGCTGTATGATGGAATCGGCCGATACTTGATGAAAATCCATAACTAACGTATTCCAAAAACACTTTATTGTGAGATTTTCACTAAATTTAGTGAAAATCTGGTTTTTCGGAACATGTAATCGACAAGATGGCACAGAAGTGAGATAAAATTATTCTGCGTCTGCTTCCTTATCATTGCGAACTTAATCCTATTGCACTCGTTTAGGCTCACGAAAAGGGTTTCGTTGTGTAAATTCGAAATGAAGGATATACATGAATTTTGAATCAGTTTCAATAGTGAATATTCGTGATACCAAAACCAAAGTAACCAGAAAATTCAATATTAAGAATAATTGGATTTATATATATGGCTCTGCTGCGAATATACGAGGTATCTGTCATTTGATTTTCTTTTAATTGAGCCTGCAGCAGCAAGGGGGTTGGAAATCTCATTCCGTAGCGGGAAGGATAGCCAACATTGGAGTATTCAAGTATTTTTCCACATAATTTCAAAGAATTCGGAACCCATCATTTACTTCCTCCGCAATGCACAATGATTAGTCGCGATCCTTCATTCGCAGGCGTGTTAGGTGTACATATTCTCGAACCATCAGTCTACCCTTTCGTAACTGTGTTTCGAGTGTTATACCAAGATTCTTCCAAATAGAAAATTTACCGTTGTTCTTGTCTATATTTAGTTACTTGTTCTAAGTATGTGTTACACAATTCCACTATTATTATTATTTTAAATCTAAATCATAGTTTCTTTATCCAATTCTGAAGAGTTTTTTCACAGCAGCTCACGTTATGGCTGGATGTATTCATTTGCTTCCTTATGATTTCAATTGTGGGAATCTCATTGCTTTTGTAATAGTCGTGTATTGTTTTTTCTATCATTTTATTAGGTTTTGGTAATCTTGTATCACATCGTGTCTTGCGTTCATAAGGTCTGTTTTAGACTACTGCTTGTAATAGTTTGTTTCCCTCAAAACCAAACTTGAGATGTAGATTCTTATATACATTGAAACATACTCTCTGTGTTTCAACATTCAAATGCATCTGAATCATATTCACTGGTATATCTTTTTCGCATTGTTCACCATCGCTATTGAAATCACTACACGGGAAAAAGTATGCGTTGTTATCATGCTCGTTATTATTATCAGTACTTGTCCAAGGACGCCACATTTTAAGTAATCATAACTGCACCAATATTGAATTTCCACAGTCAAATCAGTTCCTAAACTGAACATTGACACGACGGCGATAACAATCCCCGCATTTCCCGATTTCTATGGTTTTTTGGCCTTTGAGAGTTCCGCCAACTTCAAGTGTGCACAATATCGTTTACTTCGACCTATGCCATATTTTAGCTTGAAGATACCCGACATGTTATCAATTTGTTGTTTTTTATGTGTATCTCTAAGGTGTTATATGTTATATTGATTTTCTGATTAGTGCCATCTATTGACTAGAAACTGAAGTATGGAGTTAGACCTCTATATAATGACAGATGAAGGTAGATTGATACTCTTTAAATGACTGGCGCCAATTTTCAAATTATTGGAGTTAGACCATTATTATTCTATTTGCCTCAAATATCGAATGGACTGTTCATATGTCAAGAAGTTCAAGGCAACCATTTAGAGCATCTTCTGAACTGACCTCAAGTTTATTACCTCATATTATGTAGTTAAATGTTATCATATTCAGGCGATTATTGAAAGTTCCGCCATTTTGTGGTAGTTGAAGTTATTGAAATTATATTCTAGAGTTGGGAAGCATTTGTCGGGAGCTTTGAATAGATGTGTCACAGGACCCCCTTTCTATTTAATTTTTTTCCCAGATGACGCCCAGTCGCCATCTTGAAAGTTTCATCTGTCAATTTCACTTCAATATAAAGTATTCATGCATTAATTTCATTATCCAAAATTACAATTTTTTGTGTTGACTCCTTCAAAAAATAAAATTGGGGGACATTAAAGAAATGCACTGTTTATTCTCAAAACACAACTCATATTTTCATTCACATTCCTCCAATCATCAACTATTTCTGAAAGTCCAATTCCTTTACCAAATATGTCACATGCTTACCTCTTGGATCTCTGACGGTATCTGCAGATCCTAGATTTCCCGCAACTTGGGAGAACCGTACAGCAATTGGTGTTTTTTTCCCAACTGATTCGAATACTGTCGATACGGTTAAATGAGAAATGTCATGTGTCACCTGTAAAAAACATCTATTCATACATCTAAATTTCGAATAAAGTTAATTCTTTACATCATTTCAATCCAATTTTCAAAAGTGCTATTATTGAAAATACATGACATGAACATGAGCATATAAAACTTCTTATAAATTGCAACAGCTTCTTGGTAATCCAAAAGATAGACTGGAAAACACAGAAAGGTCGGCGATTTACGAAATCAGTTGTCAAGATTGCAACAGCAAATACATCGGCCAGAGCCGACGAGCGATTAAAACCCGCTTCAAGGAGCATTGTGCACACATGAAATACGGAAGGATAGAAAAATCCAGTGTCGCCCAACATGCTCTAGACAAGGACCACAGAATTGGTGAAAACAATCTGAAACTGATTAAGCATGTGCATGACACCAGGCTACTCGATGCATGTGAGAGAAATAGCAAAATGTAAGAACACATGAATGGCGATAAGGGATCTATCCCGTTTAGCCCGCCTTTTAATCTTCTGTTAGGAAGAGAATAATTACTAAGAACTTGCAGGTAGTTAATTACCAAGAAATTCCATATTGGACTTCAGGTATACAACCTCAGGTAACAAATATTAGTATATAAGGATTAACCAGACTAGACTAGGTATCAATTTTCTTCTCCTGAGGATGCTAACTTTGTTGGCGAAACGCGCGTCGAGTGCAAAAATATCAGTTTGGTGTTAGGGCAATTGATCTCGAAAAAAGTTATTCAACTTTCACACCAAAGGTTCCAATCTCATCGTTATGACATGAACATGCAACTTTTTCGTAGTTTAGGTGAAACACCCGCAAAAACAGCTTTCATCAATTCCATTCTGAAGAAGTAGTCAAAACATGTTTTTGATAATAAATTGATGGATGTAGCCGTTACTACGTGATAGGAAATCATTTTCAAACCTGAATTTACAATATAAAAGCATCAGTAAATATAAATTTTGAAAATGATTTACAAAATAGTTAACAAATGAAGAATCCAATTATAATAAAGTTGGGCCTTTGTTTTTTAGTGGCGAAGATTTATACAGATTTTCCTCAAATTGAAGAGACACTTCGACTCAATTACTCGTATACTTATATCAATTATGTGAAGTATGAAACTTTCAAGTTCATTTTTGAAAGTACATTTTGTATATAATTTTAATTTATTTTTTTATATCATTTACCACCATGAAGCTGTTGCATTAAAAATTGAACTTTAGTTTCTTTGAAGGTGGTTGACAATGTTTCGTGGTGTATTTCATCAGTTCGAACTTCCATTGTCTAATATAATATAAATTGATTTGATAACCCTGAAAAAATGAAAGGATTAACCGAAAATAACAATTGTATTAAAACAAAAAACTGAAATTACTAGGAAATAACATACAAGCTGCAACCAGAAAATAAAAAATTGAAATATTAATAAAAGCTCAAAATTAAAGAATATTATTAACAAAAGTGAAAAATAAAAATTAAAAGATTCCAAACCAAGTTACGTCACGACGTTTCGATTGTTAGTTTCTACAAGCGTCTTCGGGTGATAACTGGACTTATTCCTCCGAGATCTGACTATTTATAGGTCACCTATCCCCTCTTTCCGCTTCATTGGTTTTAGCGGGAGATGACCGTTTGGCGGGAGTTGGTCGTTTTTCGCTTGATAAGAGGTTTCCATATGTTACGTATCTCTACGCTAGCTTGACTAAATGCGTTGTTGGACAACATATACGCGGCTTCCTTGAATTTTCTCCTAATTTTGGTCAAATATTCTACATTGGTAACTCTCTCAAACGATATATCTGAAATCTACCTGTGATATACAGGGTATGAAAAACCGCTTGCCACATATTGTAAATAAAAATTTGCAGAATCTTCCTTATTTTAAATGGAATACCCTTATATTATCGATCAATAAGGAGCGCCAACGAAACCTCTTAAATTTACATCAAGTATTTCCTATGGCTAGGTTCAATAGTTTTTCTTAAATAAGCATAAATAAACTCGATGTCCATTTGACCACTGATAAGAATATACAAAAGATATCTTGTTTCAATTTTGTACATTATAGCGTGTCCAAACAAATATTTTTTTACGAAATAAATGTATGTACCTAACACATTTTTCTAAATGGAATTTTTTTTTCATTAGATGCAGAATTTTTCCTATAAATCGTGCAATATCAAACCAAACAAGATTCAATGAAAAAACATTATGAATATAACTAATTTTTTTTTCATAATATGGTGTATATTCATGAATTCAGGGCTTAAGTTCTAGATATTTAAATTTGTCAACTGACAAACTACAACACTAAAAAAGGAAGAGTTTATTGAAGGTTGATAATGAAGCTTTTATAAAATATGTTTGATATGTCTTCCATTTTCTTGAAAGCAGAGCAGAAGTCTATGTTTGAAGGACTGTTCTATCCTGCGCAAGACAGCTGGTGTAATGCTGCCAAAAGCATTCGTTATTCTAAGTTTCATATTTTCGGAAGAAGCTGGTGGCTCAGTGGCTCGTCGTAAACCATATTTTTTATGTATCCCATAAGAAAAAATCCAGTTATGTCAAATCTGGTGATGTAGCGGGCCACCGTACAGGCCCATTCCGTCCTGTATATTTATTGGGAAATACTTAGACGATCTCTAACTTCTGCCGAATAGTGAGCAGGTGCACATACATTGTTCCACTCATATGTCCCTGAAAAAAGAATGGACCAATTACATATTCTCCAATGATGCCTCCCCAGACATTTTGCGACCGCCTATGTTGATAGTCCACCTGTCTCAATAAGCGGGGATTTTCAGTTGAATAATAATGATAATTATGTCGATTCACAAATCCATTTTTATGGAATGTCGATTCATCCGACCATAAAATGTTATTTAAAAAATATTCGTTTCAACGAATTTTTCCCATGGCCCAATTGCAAAATCTCCCATTTTTCTCAAATTGGCATACAGTAGTATGAGATGAAAGCGATGTATCTTCAAAACTCGTTGCACTGATATCTCACTTATATCCACTATTTCACCAATTTGTCGTTGACTCCTACTAGGATCTTCTTCAACAGCAAGAAGAACTTGCAATTCGTTATCTTCATTAGTAGCTGGCTTGATGCGCTCATGTTTAGAATAATTGATACATCCAGTTTCAACAAATCGTTTAATTTTATTTTATTCGCTGAAGGTTGTTTTAGACCGAAAAAATATGGTACAAATTTCGAGATTATTGAAATTATTGTAATTATTCAAGTACGTACATTTTGCGATGTAATTCAAAACTTGTTTATCTAGCAACAGATAATTTTAAGCATGGGGTGATATTTTAAGGAAAGGCTTCGACAAAAACTATGTATCAAATGAATAAATTGCACGGTGTTCTATTTAGGAAATAAATGTGTTATAAACATAACATATATCTCGATCACAGCCGTCACATATGGATTCCACAGTAAAAAAATCATTGATATTAAGGCAATAAAATAGAGAGTTGTCATTTTTAGAAAAAAAAAATAAGAAGAACTATAGGACACGCTATAATGTACAAAATTTAAACACGTTATCTTTCATACATTTTTATCAGTCGTCAAATGAATTTTACTTTGAAAAAAGTCTGTCATGGAGTTTATGGCGTAGAAATAGGAAGAACGACCATTTTACGAATAAAATGCTTTTTTAAGAAAAACTATTGAACCTAGCCATAGGGAATATTTAATGAAATTTGTAGAGGTTTCGTTGGCGCTCCTTATGGATCAATTATATACAGGGTGTTCCATTTAAAATAAGAAAGATTTTGCAAATTTTTATTTACAATATGTGGCAAGTGGTTTTTCATACCCTGTATATCACAGTTAGATTTCAGATATATCGTTTGAGAGAGTTACCAATGTAGAATATTTGACCGTCAATATTTTCGAAGTGAAGATATACATATAGTATCTTTTATGTTCTATGTAGAAACCGAAAAAACGATAAAAAATGTAGGTTGCCATTTGGGATCCGCCCAGAAAAAATTGAACACCTTGTGTGACCGCCAATATTTTCATTTTGCCGAGCTTGAGTAATAAGGTGATATTATAGAAATTTAGATTCCTATCTGTTTCCTAAATAGAGATATGGAATACCGCGCCACTGTTGCAGGACCCTGTATACAGACGGCTCAAAAACCAAGGAAGGCTAAGGATAAGGAGTATACTCCAGATCACTAAGCCTAAGGATTGAGTGGGGAATGGGAAAAATACCAGCGTGGTCCAAACAGAACTGGCTGGTATCTCAATCGCCACAAAAGAAATAACCAGGAAAGGAATTTCTGGCAAAAACATAATAATCTGCACTGGTAGCAGACAAGCCCCTATTAGCCTTGAACAGATAACGTGTTACCTCGGGGCTAGTACTAGAGTGCCACCAAGATTCCTCCTGGACTATATCAAATAAAAGTTACCAGTTTATTTGTGATTCTGATTTCCATTGATCTGCGGAATATAAATGTGTGAAAGATCGCAAAACGCGCGATGAAGTTGGAGTGGTGCCATTATCGCTGTTGCAATTGTGATACATACGAGTATAGGTTGTAAGCAACATTAGCGAATAAATCATTTCTGCGTGATTGCTCGCGTGTCGTTGTACAAATTATATTTCATTTAATGAACACGTTCCAAGCTCTAGTTCATTTAATTTTCAATTATGATATGAAGATGAATTATTATGCTTTGAAGCGCCACGATTTAGAAATGAGGAAATACTAAAGTATCTTTGGAGTTTTTTACTTTTAGTCTAAGAGCCAGTGAGCGGCTACCTGCATGTATTTGACCAGACTTAGGTTTTTGTACATTGAGGCCCCTATATCTACCGTACATGATATGGGACCTCACTAAACCCAAAGTGGTGGACGCGGTAAGTGCGCAGGTAGGACAGGTTTCAATTTTTTAGTAATTCTAAATGCATTTGACGACGTTTGCCGTTTTGATATTTTGAAATATATTCATTGGTATTTTCGTTTTTATCACCCCAAAATTAG